TCTGATTTTTTTTGGTGTGTTTCAAATGAATCACATAAGGTGGTATTTATAGAAATTTTCGAATCTGAGCATTTACTAGGAAATTGCTAGGAAAAGTAGGTACAAAACATGTGTTTTATTTAAATTCGATATTTCCTATCTATTTCCTCCTAATTTCGTAGTAAGAAACTATTTCCTCCTAATTTCGTAGTAATATTTTGCTACACCTTTACGAGGAAAGTGTTTATTACGGCATTACGAGGAAAAGTACTTTTTCCTCGTAAGCTCCTCGTAAATTTACTAAGGTCTTACGAGGAAAGTATTTCCTCGTAAGTTTTCGAGGAACTTACGAGGAAATTTGCTTTCCTCGTAAGATCCTAGTAAACGCTTAGTAATTTTACGAGGAAGAATTTTCCTAATAAAATTTCCTAGTAAATGCTTTGTTTTCTTGTAGTGTATGTTATTTTACTATTTTTGTGCTATTGTGTTTTGTAAAAATATGTAATTATAGTTGTTTATTTATTATCTCAAACTGGATTTAATAAATCTATGTTTAGATTAGATATCCTGAAAATTTAGGATATCCTTGTGGTCACTTTTATCACGTAATTAAATAGATAAAAAAAATTGGAAGGATATGTGATTTAACCGTCGGGATTAGATGATAATAAGTGGGTGTTCTTATCATCTATGATAAAGACAAAACCATGGCAGCTGGAGCTCGGTTTGCTTTCACTGGTACCACATAGTAGTAATTATATAACTAAAAGTAGACAAAACTAGTCGTACTGCTCCATTATGTTTGTATTTGTTGTACCAACATATAAGGAGAACACATTAGCCAGCGATAGAGACAAAGAACATGTTCCTTCTGTATAAAAACGATTCTATAAACGTAACTATTTATGATAGGTTACCACCATTCTTTAAGATAACGATTCTTAAACGTAATCAACTATGAAAACTAATGATTGATTACCAAATCAACAATTCCTTGTCTTCTTTTGAGTTGTGATGCTAAATTGGGATCTGCATGCCTGTCTTTTTCATATACTTACTTCTTTAATTATGACCTTTCTATAATGTAAAACATCTATAGTTACCTGGTAATGCTATTGCAATTAACTTAACGTGTACAAGTTTTGGATGATTAAATTCCAATAACACAAACTTTGTAACTTTCGGAAGAAAATGAAATGTACTATCATATAAATAACGAAGAGACGTATTTGCTTACTTTCAGAACATATTTAAAATACACATGCTATAATATCAAATCTCACGTAAAACTGATTTGATCTCACACACAAAATATATAGAGTTAAATTGACTTATAATCGACATATCACACATGTGACAAAAACTACAATAATGCTAGTACGATATGCACGACGTTGCCTTCAATTCAATCTAGAAGCCAAAGCGTCTGATTTAGTTAGAATCTCCTTTGGAGTCGGGATATCTTAGCAAAACTCCAAGACAAGTCTGCTGAAACCCTTGATCAACATTTATCAGGATTCAAAACTAATGTTTTCAAGCTAAAGCTCGATAAAACTGAATCAGTTTGGTCTTTATATTAACAACTTACGCTTATAGACATCGGGTCTTTATTAAAACTATTTCAAAAACAAAAAAAAGAGTATCAGATTCATATATAAAGATTTGTTGTTGGGTGACTTGAAAGTTTTTGTTGGTATAATATGGTTCGTATTGCTACCTTATCATCTAGGTTAAATATCGCATAGTTTATGATACTTTGCTATTTTTAATAGGTTTGATTTGCTTCAACATACTTGAAAAGTATGACTCTGTAGATAAGTATATGAAAAACAAACTTTAACTACAAGTTCAAATAAGAAAGAAAAACAAAAAGAAAAGCAAAAACACACACGCATACAACTAAAGTGAAAAGAACAAAATAGTTTTGACAACGCGATGAGAAAAGAGAGCAAATGGAATACGAAACTGAGAGATTTTAAAGTAGGGCAAAGACATATCGTTATCCAAACACAAAGGTGCAGTACTTTTTAAGCTTCTCCATAGCACGATTCCTCAATTTTTAGGTAAATCAATCTTCTGAAATATTGGTACGATTATTTATCATATAGTTGTCACATATCACTCCTTCAACACTTGGCCCCAGCATCAGCATGAGATGGTTGTATATATTGTACAAAGCAAATATGGCTTACTATTAATTTAAAATTGTATATATTGTACAAAGCAAATATGGCTTACTATTAATTTAAAATTGTATATATTGTACAAAGCAAATTAATATGGCATACTATTAATTTAAAAAAGCCTAGCGTATTCTAGATTCTTCCTACAATAGCTAACATCGAAAAAAAAAAGCTAACATCGATTTGCCTGAGATTGCATCTCGGTAAACCGTGGGCAGAGACTTAGGCGTCCATTGTTTCGCACGTAGTTTTTGCGGTTACCTAAAACAAATTACATTTTATTTTGTGTTTAATTTTAGTTCATTTAAAATGAAAAAAACATAGAGTAATTTAAAAAAAATACAAATTGGATGTTAAGCAAAAACATACTTCGCCAGTGGAACATTGCATCAAAAACTAGGTACATTCTCAGCTATTTTAATTGAAAAACATGGACCACCTCTCTTATTTTTCATCTAACCACAACTATTTTTTGTTTGTTTGATCTGTTAACATTCACATCGATCCATGGACGGATAACCTCAATTTCAGGTCCACATTTCTCTATCTATGGTTTCATACCATCTATTGTCATTATAGTGTCAACTGATGAAGTAAGTTAAGTCATTACTTAGTAACAAGTACTCCTTAAATCGCCTCACAGTTAATCATCATCACCTGTCGGCACAACAAGTTGCACAATTTGCTCGTATATATTGATTCCATCTCGATAGCTAGCATTATATTCTTCCTAACTAGTGCCTCTCTTAGCTCATAGAACATTAGAAGATCGATCATTTCCCTTTGTTTATTTGGTAAATTCTTTTCATATCTAACCACACACAAAAGAAGAACCAATCTAGCCTAGTTATAGGCAACTTATAAATATTTGTTTCACTATATTTTTTTCATTATAACGTATTTACAGTTGTATATGTGGAAACAATTTAAGTGGGATTCATAATCGGCAGGCATCAAACAGTGTATTGCTAAAGGTAGTTAATACATTTCATATGGGACTTTGTACTAAATCAACATTTACTAGGTTTCTTCAAGGGCAATTATATGTTTATGGCAAACTCTCGTTTCCATTTAGCATCCTTATTGTAGTATTTTGTTCGATATGGAAGATCATATTTAATATTCATACAAAAAAATGAAAATCTTCAACCGCAAGATGGCATAATTATTTTATGAATTTATAACTCAGTCGAGCCGAAATTCAATAATTATCCATCCACACCCACATGCAAAATTTAAGAAACAAACAAAAAGTTTATCACCACATTATCTCATCTCACATGAATCCAAATCATCCTCCAACCTCACATTATTTAACATAATAATTTTCTCAAATAAAAGAAAAAAAATAATTATAACAGGACATATGTCACCATGTATATATCTATATATACATCCAAGAAAGACAACCTGTGTATGAATGGTATAACCTTAAATCAAGAAAAGCATCATTTTCCACAAACAATGATGTCCTCATCATCATCTGCCACCGATACTATCACTAAGCCGCCGCCGCCGCCGTCGACTGTTGAGTCTGTCACGTGCGACACGTGCGGTTTCGCCGAGGAGTGCACACCGGCTTACATCCACCGCGTCAAGGAACGGCACAGGGGACAATGGCTTTGCGGGCTCTGTGCGGAGGCTGTGAAGGACGAGGTGGTTCGATCTCCGACAAGAATCTCCGTCGAGGAAGCTCTTCGCCGCCACACAACGTTCTGCCACCGGTTCCGTTCATGGAGCGCCGAGGAGGAGGAAGAAGATCCTATTGCAGTCATTGGAAGGATTCTACGGCGGAGCCTCGATGGCTCTCCACGGAGAACCACCACCAGGACGAGCTCGAGTGGGGCTTTGCCGGGTATCGACGGCGTAGTGTCACGACGGTCGCTTCTCCGATCGGGGAGCTGTTTCTCGTCTCTCTCTACGTGATTAAGTGTGTTAGTTGTAAAGTTGCATTTTGTTTTTCTTTAATTTTTGTTAAAGATTTGTTATTTTGTATGACTAGTATTAGATCCGCGCGGGATGAAATGATTAAATTTGTTGTATGTTTGAAGATAAGAATACATTATATCTGTTTTATTTGCATATTAGTTTGTTTTGGATTGGTGGTTTCGGGTTTTAATATCGTCCAATTATATATCTATATTATTAATATTATCTTTTTGGTTAAATTGCGATTTTGTCTCATATATATGTTTTTTTTTGTCATCCACGCGACATGGAAGCACGTAAGATGAAAGTATATTACTGTCAACACCATTAAGAGTACTGAGACAATTCCAAATCTCCTTTTAGTCTCGAGATGGGTTGCGAAAAGGCTCATTTCAAGAAGCAAATTCTCAATTTGTATAACGAAATCTCCAAACTCAAGAGCCCTTAAACCTTTCACATATATATGTCGACAATTTGTTCAATAGCTCATGTCCACGTCCTTTCCTATGGATACAAAAATCGACGTTAAAAACTTGTGTCCAAAAGTCCAAAACTACAGAACCAATCTCACCAACCTACGTAGTGAAGATATAGAGTTTTCAGAGCACCACTACTATACGACCTTAGGATCTCTCGAAGACAACACACTTCACCATGTAGATCTACCCTCAGTACACTAACTACCTCAAACTTAGTAAGGTTGAGTTCAATCTCTTCACGTTACACACGAGCCATGTCCAAACCAAGATCGCGTTCATGGGGTCCGGTACGTTGCCCTTCATATCCATCATCTTAGATACGTCCCACCTCCCAAATAATGACGTTCCAGAACTTTGACATCGACCCTCAAGTCAATTCACTTGCCTCCGAACTTGTCTCACGCGATATTGAATTTTGTAGTTTTAAAATATCTCGTGTGTTTTATAATTGAAGTAAATAAGGTAATATATTGTGAGAAGCTAGTAAATAAGGTAATAAATTGTGAGAATGTAATAAATTGTGAGAAAATGGTGTGAAAACATTTAATGCAAAATGCTTTTCTTTTAATATATGGGGGATATTAGTCTTTCTTCATCTATGAGTTAATTAAATGATCAATGAGCAAAGCACATATTATGTGTTCGCAAGAGTGTTGAGTATAATATTCTCTAAATTACTTACGTTTTATCTGTAACTAATTCTACATCTAGGTTTGTTTTGAGCTTAAAATAGCAATGCAATATGTAGTACACATAGTTAATGTATTAATGAGTTTGTACCAAATTTTACGTACGTAGCAATAAAAAGAATACGTGAAAAACAAATACTGTACGTATAGCATTGGTGTTATATTTAAGGTTTTTCCATTCTTGAAACTTGCTTGAATGTATATTGTTGACAAACTGAACACGTTAGACTAGACAGATAAAAACACTTTTATTATAATATATGTCCTTTTTATATCATATTCAATAATTCTCCTAAAAAACATTGGGTAGACTATAAAACAATGCACATCTAGTAGATATACATCCATGTTTAAGAATGCGCTAGGCGCTAGTCGGGCGGCTCGATTGGGCCTAGCGCCTAGAGAAAAAATCGGGGATTAAGCGGGAATTATACGGGGTAGAATTTTTAAACTATTTGATATGTTATAAGATATATTAATCTTTAATTGTGTATAATATTAATACATTTTCATGTTTAGAATCTTATAAACACACAAATAGAATATACAAAGTTAATATGATATAATTTCATCAAAATTATAATTTATTAATTTTTAAAACAAATAAATAGATAAAAAAATATTATTAAAAAAATAAAAAAACATAAAAAATGGATTAGGCGGCCGCCTAGGCGGCTAGGCGGTCATCTAGGCGGGTTAAAATCGGACGACCGATTTTCTACGACGATTTGGCCGAAATCGGGGCGGAAGAGGATCGCCTAGCGAATAGGCGGCCGCCTAGGCGGCTAGGCGGCCGATTTTTAGAACAGAGATATACATCTACTAATACGAATACTTCCTGTCAACTTGAATTCATCAATAGTTACCGATTATATACCCTAAAATCAGTAGGCGACATATCATTTCCCAAATCACTATAGCATAAACTCATAGATATCATTTCTCAAGTCACTAGCATAAACTCATAGATTATGCTAGCTGATGCATATGTCACTCAATCTAACATTTTAAGAGTTCCATTTACGATGCAGTTATATTTAGCCATAGCAATGTTTGAACGAAATTTGCCTTATTAGAAGTTTAGAACAGACTAATCTAATATTTTAGACAGATATCTCCAGCTTTGGTGTGATGAGGAGACACAAGTTATCACATCACTTCCCTATTAGTGTGGCGCAAGGGGTCATCATTCCTCTTCACTTTGCTGTCCAATCGCCAAAGAGAATTTAACTTGATAGCTTGTTCTTTATTTGCTTCTTAATTGTTTATAATAGAAAGACAATTCCATGTTTATTTTTGTTCATTTTCTTAAAATTTTCTATCATTTTTGAGTTAAAAGTATTTTGAGCCCTTTTCACGAATATCTTTTAGTGTACCCACCAAGATTTGTATTTATCACTCCAAATAATTATACTCTTTAATAGATAACCTTTTCAAAGTATGTGAAGATTAAGGTACATATTAAAATAGTCACAAGCGGTCTAAAACAAAACAAATGAAATGGTAGTAAGAAAATATATACTAGTAGGAGAAGACATGCTTTATGGTCAACCAACCCTGGTTATAGTGACACAATGTTAGTTGAAGAATAGAATCAAAGCCTAGGATCAATAGATTTTTTAAAAATTGGGCAATTAGAAAATGCTTATATCTAGTTCTGGTGTTTTTAATTTTTTTCTCGATTTGTGGTTCTCATTGATGTTGCTCTGCTTAATGATGGTCTTTGTGTTTCTTCGGTTTTTATTTTAACTTTAGTAGTTTCTTATGGTTAGTATTCTGCCTCTATGTTCTGAAGAATCCGTCTCCGAAAGTGGCAATTACCACCAATATATCTCACTGATGTATTCCACTTATGAATCTTGAAATCTATATTAATAAAATTTTAGTGAAAAAAAATAAATATAATTATTTTGATTTTGAATTTCGTATCTATGGTTTTCCAATATCTCTATAATATTATTTGAAAAGTCAGTTTCATATGTGCCGTGCTCACGTTAACTCTCCAAATGGTTGATTACATAAATACCATTAATGAACTAAAAATATTAAATAAAATCGATATTAATAATGTATTTCCCTTTTTCATAATAAGATTTTACTTAATTTTTTTAATATAAGTTTACCTTTTTAAACACACATAAATAAAAAAGAAAATATTATGAAATGTAAATCTTTACATATAAACGATTTTTTTTTGAAATTTTCCTAAAATAACATGTTTAGTGTTTATTTAAGAGATATTAAAAAGGAAAGTAAAAATATTTTTTAACAAAAAGAAATATTTTCATCAAATAATTTAAAAATCCATTTAAATAGCGTAGCACTATACACTATTAATGAAATGGAAATATAATATTTTATCATTATTAAAATTTCTTTTTAATATTAGTTTGCTTTTTAATTTCATTTTATTTTTTTATCTTTGTGGAATTTAATATATAAATAATAAAAATACTCAAGTAAATCTACGTTCTCATTTTTAAGATTGTTTAAAATACGTTTCATATTACCTTTCAAGAGATCTAAGGCACAAAATAATTTAGAGTTTATAAATATTTAATTATTTTAAATATTAGTATGTGCTCATGAAATTTCAGAAGTTTATCTTTATACTCATATTTATGTATGTAAAAAGCTATTGATCGTCACTTTATTTTTTAATAATTCTTACAAATCAACATATATCCAATTATTAAAAATATTATAAAAATACTTGCATTAAAAGATAAATAAAACTAACTTGATTTGATTTAATTAGAACAAAAATAATTATATTTTTATTGGAATTAGTAAATATAAATAATTCAGTATACTCACAAAACGAGTAACGGAAAGAATCTAACTTGTATCCAAAATAAAAGATCTAACTACAACAAGAACATATAACTTTAGAATAATTATTTATTTATCTTTATACATATAGATTACATGATGATTCAAAATTATCAATATATAAAATAAATTATTAACTAACTGTTATAATTCAGTTTTTCTTTTTGTAAAATGTATATATATGAATGAGACTTCATAATATTATCGTTATATTCATTTATGTAATTTTGAATAAAAATTTAAGTTTACTTTTAATTTCACTATAAGCATGATATATATTAAATAGTACCTAATCTTAATAAAATATATTTATATATATAAGATGATAACCAATCTAAATGCAATAATAATCAAAGTTTTAGTATATTTTGAAGAAAAATATTATAGTTGAATTCAGAAAAATAGATGTAAAAATTCACTATTTAAAAAAAACAACCAAACCGATTAATATAACATCTCCCAAATCGTATGTCTAATTAAAATAATATAATATAAGTTATATATATATAAATTATAAACTAATTTATAATTAAAAATAAATCTCTATCTAAATTAATAAATTAGAATATACCACAATATATTACCACAATATCTTTACTTGATAAATATTCATATCTGTGCATGAGTACGGGAAAATCACCTAGTACAGAAAATTAGGATGGACAATATAATCATTTGATGTACCCAAAACTTAACGTGTATCATCCAAGATCATATCCTAAAATTATGAATATATTTTTTATGTCAGCCGCCCATTTACCAAGTTATGAATAATATCCACAATTTTCAGAAAAGATTAATATATGTTTGCAGCTCTTATATTCCAGATTCTTGGTGTAAAAGAGTGAAACGCTAAACGAATATAAAGCCTTGACTTATTGGTAAAGCCCACTGGACTATAATCCGAGCCCATAAGAAAACTTATCGTTTAATCAAAGCAACAACTAAAAACCGCTTCCAACTCCAATCAATTCGTCTCTCTCTTCTTCTTCTCCTCGTTAGCTCAAACCCAAAAAAAAAAAAACGTAGCGAAGATGATGCACATGACTTTCTACTGGGGCATCAAAGCCACAATCCTCTTCGATTTCTGGAAAACCGACTCATGGCTCAGTTACATCCTCACCTTACTCGCCTGCTTCATCTTCGCCGCCTTCTACCAATACCTCGAGAAACGCCGCGTCCAATTCAAATCCCTTTCGTCCACTCGCCGTCCTATTCCGCCTCCTCGCGCCGGCGTTTCCGCGCCTCTCATCCCCAAATCCGGCACCAGATCCGCCGCCAAAGCTGCCTCGGTGCTGCTTTTCGGCGTCAACGCGGCGATCGGTTACTTGCTGATGCTCGCGGCGATGTCCTTCAACGGTGGCGTTTTCATCGCGATCGTCGTCGGGTTAACAGTCGGGTACCTCTTTTTCAGATCTGATGACGACGGTGCTGACGTGGCGGCGGAGAATCCTTGCGCTTGTGCTTGATTTCGAAAATTTCTGTAATTCGGTTTTATGTTTGATGTGTTGGATCTGTGACACGTGTTTTATTTCTGTATAATTAATCTTGTTCACTGAACTGATCAGCATCGACGATCTAAATGCGTTTAATGTATAATTAATCTATCATATGATTAAGCTCTATATAATACTGAGTGTAGTCAAGAGTATTGCAATAACACAGACGGTGATGAAGTTTGATCCATATTTGCTTTTGACTATTATTATGTCTGATTAATTTCCATCTATTTTTACCTGTTTTCATTTATTGTTAATTTATTATTCTCTTCTTCTATTATCTCTACGACTTTTGTAACCGATGACAATTTAAACCATTTTTCCAACCTAATTTGTCAGAAATTTGACTTATTTATACCCACGACAATGGCCACACACAGTACCAATAATAAGTAAAAAAAAATATATTTGTTACTAGAAGTTGGAAAATATATATACTCATGTACTTGAAGCGATCATCAGACTTGTAATTAGTAATTACATAGTAGGAATTACCTGATGATCAACTGGGCCGACGCAAAACCCCAACCGGCCCAACAGTAACACATCTGTTTTCAATAAAAGATCCATTAACAAATTATTTACGTAGGGTTTAAGCAGAAACCTGTAGGAATTCATACCGGTTTATAACGATTTATAAAACAACCTATGAATTTTATTAGCCTAGAATCTCATGCCAATACTGAAATAAATATAGATCTTAGGGTTTCGGATATACCTGTTTATTTTGCAGCGGAAAGATAAACAACCAAGTCGAGATTTCAAGCACTCCAAACGTCGTGCCTCTACTGGTATCCACACGCNCTGTAGGAATTCATACCGGTTTATAACGATTTATAAAACAACCTATGAATTTTATTAGCCTAGAATCTCATGCCAATACTGAAATAAATATAGATCTTAGGGTTTCGGATATACCTGTTTATTTTGCAGCGGAAAGATAAACAACCAAGTCGAGATTTCAAGCACTCCAAACGTCGTGCCTCTACTGGTATCCACACGCACACAAACTGGATCGATACGGGATGCTAGTGCCGTCGAGATCAAATCTCCAGAAACCTTGACGAACTATTCGTCTTTTGTCTCCTTTTAGTTTAGGGTTTAGGTGAGGTTGCGGCTACAAAAACTCACAATCACTTAATCTTATAACATGTATATATATATGAAGACGTTGAACCTACATTAGGTCACATGAAATGGGCTGGGCCAATTATTTATTTGCACCCACGTTTACCCATTACGTTAATATATTAACATGCACCTTATAAGATTACATATATCATATATATGATTATTCGTAAACCCAATATTGATTTAATCTATATTAAAACCAATTATTATTAGATCCAATTTGCTTAGGTGTGTGACCCTGTAGGATCATATAATATTAGTAATGAATTCTTAATTCATAAATTATAAGCGGTTTCTAGCAAAACATTATAACCACCTAATATTATATGATTGTCGAACCTCGACGTTACGACTTTAACTAGAGTAAATACAAATGATTTTAGGACATTCCCAACAA